GAGTTAGGGACCATAGATACAGTCAGGTCCATAAATATTGGGACATTGACACAATTCTAACATTTTTGGCTCTATTCACCACCACAATGGATTTGAAATGAACAAGATGTGCTTTAACTGCAGACTGTCAGCTTTAATTTGAGGGTTTTTACATCCAAATCAGGTGAACGGTGTAGGAATTACAACAGTTTGCATATGTGCCTCCTACTTGTTAAGGGACCAAAAGTAATGGGACAGAATAATAATCATAAATCAAACTTTCACTTTTTAATATTTGGTTGCAAATCCTTTGCAGTCAATTACAGCCTGAAGTCTGGAACACATAGACATCACCAGACGCTGGGTTTCATCCCTGGTGATGCTCTGCCAGGCCTCTACTGCAACTGTCTTCAGTTCCTGCTTGTTCTTGGGGCATTTTCCCTTCAGTTTTGTCTTCAGCAAGTGAAATGCATGCTCAGTCAGATTCAGGTCAGGTGATTGACTTTGCCATTGCATAACATTCCACTTCTTTCCCTTAAAAAAACTCTTTGGTTGCTTTTACAGTATGCTTTGGGTCATTGTCCATCTGCACTGTGAAGCAGCGTCCAATGAGTTGTGAAGCATTTGGCTGAATATGAGCAGATAATATTCCCGAAACACTTCAGAATTCATCCTGCTGCTTTTGTCAGCAGTCACATGATCAATAAATACAAGAGAACCAGTTCCATTGGCAGCCATACATGCCCACGCCATGACACTACCACCACCATGCTTCACTGATGAGGTGGTATGCTTAGGATCATGAGCAGTTCCTTTCCTTCTCCATACTCTTCCCATCACTCTGGTACAAGTTGATCTTGGTCTCATCTGTCCATAGGATGTTGTTCCAGAACTGTGAAGGCTTTTTTAGATGTCGTTTGGCAAACTCTAATCTGGCCTTCCTGTTTTTGAGGCTCACCAATGATTTACATCTTGTGGTGAACCCTCTGTATTCACTAAGGTGAAGTCTTCTCTTGATTTTTGACTTTGACACACATACACCTACCTCCTGGAGAGTGTTCTTGATCTGGCCAACTGTTGTGAAGGGTGTTTTCTTCACCAGGAAAAGAATTTTTCGGTCATCTACCACAGTTGTTTTCCGTGGTCTTCCGGGTCTTTTGGTGTTGCTGAGCTCAACGGTGCGTTCCTTCTTTTTAAGAATGTTCCAAACAGTTGTTTTGGCCACGCCTAATGTTTTTGCTATCTCTCTGATGGGTTTGTTTTGTTTTTTAAGCCTAATGATGGCTTGCTTCATTGATAGTGACAGCTCTTTGGATCTCATCTTGAGAGTTGACAGCAACAGATTCCAAATGCAAATAGCACACTTGAAATGAACTCTGGACCTTTTATCTGCTCATTGTAATTGGGATAATAAGGGAATAACACACACCTGGCCATGGAACAGCTGAGAAGCCAATTGTCCCATTACTTTTGGCCCCTAAGAAGTGGGAGGCACATATGCAAACTGTTGTAATTTCTACACCGTTCACCTGATTTGGATGTAAATACCCTCAAATTAAAGCTGACAATCTGCAGTTAAAGCACATCTTGTTCGTTTCATTTTAAATCCATTGTGGTGGTGTATAGAGCCAAAAATGTTAGAATTGTGTCGATGTCCCAATATTTATGGACCTGGCTGTAGCTCCTTGAGGGATAGGGACTGATGTGAATGTATAATATAAATGTAACGTTCTGCGTAAATTGACAGCACTATATTACTACCTGTAATAGATAATAATAATGATATATAACAAAATGCAAATGCAAATTATTACCTATTTTAAGTTGAAAAATTTTCCTCTCCTCTCATTCTCACTCAACCTCCTATCCGGTAAAAAAAAAATGGGTACGTGGTCTCCATCTGTCCACATGATGTTCTCATGAAGGCCTTGTAACGAAAAGCACTTTATTTTGCTTCTAATTTCCCTTGTCATGGGAAACGTTTTCTTTTGTCTAGTTGTTTGAATCATCTGTGCTGCAAAATAAAAAAAAAAAACAGCAATCTGTGGGGAGGGTGGGGTGAACACGCTGCTTTTTTTTTTTTTCTCTTCCAGAGTTCCCCAATTTTATTTGTGTGGTAAGTGTCACTTCCTCTGCCAAATACTGAACAGAGTTCACTTCAAACTTGGAAGCAGAGCTCTGTGCATCTGCCTGTGGTGATCTATCAAAGACCACTATTGTGGTCTACAACAGCCATACATGACAGGCCTGAAAAAGCAAGCAAAAAAAGTAAACAACCAAAACACAGTACAGTTTTTTTGTGCACAACAGCACCCTGGAGAAAACAGAAAAGTGCATTGCTAAGGATGTGGTTTTATAGGTAAAAAAGCAAATTTAAACATTGTGAGAACATTGTTTACCACAGGGAAATTCCACCAACTTTGCAGCCTTTGTAAATCTTTGCCTGTTCAGTGTGGTAACAAGCAATCATATAATTGTATATGTGACCTCTAACCCTTTCTTCTTTTCTGGTGGCAGTATGGTTGCCAACGGTTTGTAATTGCCAGGGAAGCTTGTATTATACCTAAGCTGGCTTTTTAGGATCCACTCCTAAAGGACCTGTTTGTCATATAATTTAAGTAAATGTAAACCAAAGGTTAGTGACCTTTACTTTGATAAGGCACTGTGCACCATAAACAATTTGCCATTTATTTAATTAATTAAAATACTTGTAGGCAGGTTCAGTTTGTTTTGTAAACTGTTGGTGGCACTGAACCACAGCAGCAAGGCAGTGGGGAGAGGAAGTGGAGCGAAACTGGGTTGCTTTTTGACTTCGTGATCCGGTTGGATGCTCTGGCCCCATATGACTCTGGTGACCATCTTGGGTCAGGCAAAGTCTATTTAACCTCTTGATGCCAGCGTGCAGTTAGAAAACTATATGTGCTGAGAGCGCGCTCCCAGTACGCATGTCTGGTACTCACGTAAAGGTCCCGATCTCCTCTTGCGATCGGGACCGTTCCCGGTCATGTGACCGCTGTGACAGCGAATCACGGCGGTCACATGACCCTAAAACCCCGCTCTGCCTCCCGACTTCTGAAACCTTTAAAGTGCCGGGAGGCACCGGCGCCAAGGGGGTTAAGATTCTCACTCTTGAATTTCCACACTTTATGCGAGTGGCTAGTGTAGGAACAGGAATTGGTATAAGGATCCGCGCAATGGTACCTGGTAATAGTAAGGGCTGCTACTGGCACCTAACACAACTCTAAAGATGTGTGAAAAGGCTTTAAAGACCATTCATTTTAGTAGCGTAGGAACAGGTCACTCTTCTGTCTGGGACAGTATTAGCGGCAGGGAAAGATTCTGGTAGATTAGAGAAAGAGTACAGACTATGTCTACCTCCTCATGAAGCTCCACATTGGGTTGGACTGGTCAGGCCACACTCCACTCCTTGTAACAGACGCTGTCTGCAAGTCTGAACCTGCATCCCACCACCTTCCACTGAACTGTTTTGAGTGCCTCGTTCAGGTGTACCTCCCCACCCGGGTGAACCGCCCCGCCCGGCACAGTTTGTGCTGTTTTTACTAGTTCTGCAATATACCGTTTCTGGTGAGTTGGGACTCTGTGCTTTATGCCCGCCACACCATCATGCACGTACCCAACATACTGTATTTGTCCCCTTTTTTCCCCCATCCTATGCTACATCTAAATCTGGCCTTACCACCTGTAGACTTTCATTTGAATGCTCATACAGTGTGAGAAAGAATCAAAATCTTTCATCTGAACATTTAAAGGGTGCTTTCGTGAACTCGACTAATTTCCATTTGAGGTCCATGCCGTTGTCTCAATTTTCAATAGACAATTAACTTTGGCAAGTGCAGGCACGTCACACTATTTACGATTGTTTGCACTAATTTAAAGTGCTACTAAACCCATAACAGTAAAGTCAATCTGTATATGCAGTAAAGCATGCTTGTTATACTCACTGTGGAACTTAAGGGGTTAATCCTCTGCATTGTGTAAAAAGGATGTTTAATTTTGTCTTCTCTAATCCTCCCCTTCTTCCACTGTCCCCAACTCATCTCTTGAGAAAACACATGCTCAGTTGGTGTGTATTGCCAGAGAGTTTTTTTTTTTTTGAGGGAGTGCATGTGATCAGCACAGGGCCAATTAGCACTGTCCAGACAGAGGGTCAGGGGTCCTACAGCCTCATAGGACAATCAGGGGAGAACGAAAACTCCTCCTACAAGCTACAACCAATTTTATTTTATTATTATTATGGTCAGAATTAGGTTAGCCATACATGTTAAAGATTTAATTCATTCAGCCCTCTGAGCTGATCAAAAGAAATTATTCTATCTCCTAGATTGTAAGCTCGAAAGAGCAGGGCCCTCGATCCCCTCATGTTTTGCATTGTATTGTTATTGTTCTGTCACATGTTCTGTCCCCCTCTTTGTAATGTACAGCGCTGAGCGAACTATTGGTGCTTTATAAATACTGTATAATAATAATAATTTCCACATCCAGCTGTCAGAATGCCCAGACAGTGACTGTTAAAATTGGATGCAACGGCTCTTTGTCGACAGTTTTCTGCCTGGCTCCTTCGGTTTTCAGATCGATTGATATTGAGAGGAAAGATGCCGACGGGGCCAGCTACGGCTGAAATTATAGCCAGTTCATCAGAATTTGCCAAAATTTGCTCCATGTATGGCCAGCACTGGTCCTCTTTGAAATATCAATATAACACAAATAGAAAAATCTAAAATATTACCGGTACTTGAAAAGCAATCATTTTATTTTATTTAACTAATTGCCGACCGCAGATAGCCGAATGACGGCTGCACTGCGGCCGGCCAGTTCTGGGTGGGCGTCATATGGCGTCCTCCCAGAATGCGCTCTCCTGCGTGCCCCCCGGGCTGCGCACCCGGCGATCTCCGTGATCGTTGTGTCCTACGGACACAGCTGATCACGTGGTAAAAGGCCAATCACAGCGGCCTTTTACCACGTGATCAGCCGTGTCCAATGACACGCTGATCACCGGGAAAATGCAAATGCCGGTTCTCGGCTGCACTTTCCTCACGCTGTCAGATCGTGAGGAAAGTACTGCCGAAAACCGGCAGTTGTCAGAGCGGGGATCGGCACCGATCATCAGGGTCACTGATCACCAGTGCCCTGATGATCGGTGCCCAGCAGTGCCACACACAAATTCCGCCCACCTGTGCCGCCCACCTGTGCCCAGCAGTGTGCGTCCACTTGTGCCCAGCAATGCACCCACCTGTTCCCAGCAATGCACCGACCTGTGCCCAGCAGTGCGCCCACCTGTGCCACCCAGCAGTGTCACCACCTGTGACCAGAAGTGCCACCTACCTGTGCCCAGTAGTGCCCCCTACCTGTGCCCAGAAGTGCCACCTACCTGTGCCCAGTAGTGCCACCCACCTGTGCCCATCAGTGCCACCCAGCAGTGCCCATCAGTGCAGCCCAGCAGTGCTGCCAGTCAGTGCCACCAGTCAGTGCCCAGCGGCTGTGCCAGTCAGTACCCAGCAGTGATGTCAGTCAGTGCTACCTATCAGTGCTGTCTATCAGTACCCATTATCAGTGTCGCCTATCAGTGTCACCAATCAGTGCCGCATATCAGTGCCACCTATCCGTGACACCTCATTAGTGCTGCCTATCAGTGCCGCCTATCCGTGCCACCTCATTAGTGCTGCCTATCAGTGCCCTTCAGTGCTGCCTATCAGTGCCCATCAGTGCTGCCTATCAGTGCCCATCAGTGCTGCCTCATCAACGCACTTCAGTGAAGGACAAAAATTACCTGTTTGAAAAATTTTATAATAGAAACAAAAAAACTTTTTTTTTTTCAAAATTATTTGCTTATAGCACAAAAAGTAAAGTGCCCAGCAGCGATTAAATACCACCAAAAGAAAGCTCTATTTGTGAGAAAAAAATGATAAAAATTTCATATGGGTACAATCTTGCATGACCGCGCAATTGTCAATCAAAGTGCGACAGCGCTGAAAGCTGAAAATTGGAATGGTAAATAAGGGGGTATAAGTGCCCGGTAGGCAAGTGGTTAAGGTTTAAATGAGGCTGGAAATGCTTTTATCTCAGGGACGTCAGTAATAAGACTGCAGAATGTTTCATGCAGCGACACAAGACTGTACATCCCTTTTTTTTTTAGATAGGAAATAGACAACTTTTGACTACATATTTCTACATTCTTCAGAATACATATTTTAGTCTTCTGTGAATATTCCAGAACAATGGGACTTGTGGGATGATTGTGCCTGCATTACCCAACCACCATCATGATGCCTGTGGCCAGCTTTGACATCAGACATGCATGCAATGCCAGATACATCAGTACTGAACAGACAGTGGAAGTTTTCCATATGTATTTGCATTGGCAGCTTTTCTACACAAAGCTAAGTTTTAATTTATTACTGGTGCCCCCACATGGGGATACATTATGTTTTTAGAACTTTTTTTTTTTTAACTGGGTAAACATTACGATGCAGTTAATCACCAACCGCAGGTGCTTATGCAACACAATGTGTTCCCTAATGTGACATGCTACAAAGCCTACTTCATCAAAAAAGGCTAACTGAGACATTTTCTTTCAAAGACAAGGAACTTTATTTGAGGTAATGAAATTGGAGATGTTGCAATAATTCTTATTTATCACAATAGTGTCAGCACACTAGTGGAACTCAGGAAGTGACTGAAGATAAAGGAAGTTATATATCTGGTACAAGAAATAGGTGAGATATTGAAATATCTCTGTAGTTTTGTCTAAGATTTCTTAGTATGAGAAAAATAATGACATTCATAAAATGGGCTTTTGGGGTAAACACCTACCAGTAGTTCCTTTTTAATGTGAATGAGTATTAAGCTTCTTAGTCCTTCATGTTCTTCATCAAGCCTGGGGTGGCTCAGATGTTGTTATTCTGCTACAGGAAGCTACAGAAACCCCCGCTCCACCTCTAAACATGCTGAAGAAACCTTAGCAACACTTCTGAAGAGGCCCAAGAACCCCAGCTCTATCTCCATACCTGCCCAAGAAGCCCCAGCACCACCTCCAAAGCTGTCCAAGAAACTTCAGCACTACATCTATAGATGCCCAACTCCAGTACCACCTCCAAAGCTGTCCAAGAAACTTCAGCGCTACATCTATAGATGCCCAACTCCAGCACCACCTCCAAAACTGTCCAAGAAACTTCAGCGCTACATCTATAGATGCCCAACTCTAGCTCCACCTCCAAAGCTGTCCAAGAAACTTCAGCCCTACATCTATAGATGCCCAACTCTAGCTCCACCTCCAAAGCTGGCCAAAAAACTTCAGCCCTACATCTATAGATGCGCAACTCTAGCTCCACCTCCAAACCTGGCCAAAAAACCACAGCCCCACTTGCAAGACTGCTCCACCTCCACTGTTTTGTTATACCCTCACTCTCACTTCCTGGGTTTTTGCAGTGGAACTCTTAGCTTTAGCTGTCTAGCAGACAAGACAGCTTCCTAGCAACCAGTGATGGTGCAGTGAGTGGAGTCTGACGGGGAAGCTGAGACTATCTATTGGCTTACTGCCTGCTGTTAATCACAAGGGGAGTGGACCCTGATGGGGAACTAGTGTTTCTGAGTCCCCACCAGGCTACACCCACCCTTAAATTCCCCGCTGTCTGAGAGGTGTGAAGAGGAAACACCGTTGCACTGAGGGCAGAGTGTCCTTATGGATTCTTCCGTCTCAGCACCCTTCCACATCCATTGCATGCCCCACATTCATGTAACTACAAAAAGTGACAAATAATGCCCAAAGCTCTACTAGGTAACTTCAGAGACATCATAGCACCATCAAAGCTGCCCAAGAAACCCAGTACTACCTATATGGATGCCCAAGAACTCCAGCTCAACTTCCAAAGCTGTCCAAGAAAACTCAGGTCCACCTCCAAAGCTGCCCAAGAAACCATAGTCCTTGCAAGATAGTTCCACCCCCACTCCTTTTGCACCACCCTCACTTTCTCTTCCTGGGTTTTTGCAGTATGGCAGTGGAACTTTTGGCTTTGGGTGTTTAGCAGACAAGACAGCTTTCTAGCAACGAGTGATGCTGCAGTGGGCAGAGTCTAATGGAGATGATTAGACTGTCTATTGACTTAGAGTCTGTCTACTGTCTGCTCTCAATCACAAGGGAAGTGTACCCTGATGTGTACTTAGTGTCTGTGAATCCCCATCAGCCCCCCCCCAGGTACCAAACCCCCCACTACTGTACTGAAAGGTGCAGCAGCAAGGAGGATACACAGTTGCATTGAAGGCTAGTCTGAAATGGATTCTTTGGTCTTAATGCCCTTCCACATTCAGTGCATGCCCCAGGCTCATGTGAGTAGCTACAAGCAGGGGCGGACTGACCATTTGGAAACTGGGGCACTGTCCGAGGGCCCCATGAGATACCCCTGGTACCTTTTTCATAGGCTTTTTTGAGTTTAGGCAAGGACACAGGGGCCCCATGATCCCCTATTGCCCGGGGGGTCAGTAGGGGGCCCCATGAGATGCCCCTGGTACCTTTTTTGCATAGGCTTTTTTGAGTTTAGGCAAGGACACAGGGGTCCCATGATCCCCTATTGCCCGGGGGCCCCATGAGTTGTCAATCCGCCCCTGGCTACAAGTGACAAATAATTCCCAAAGCATTCCTGGTTAACTTCAGAAACATCATAACACCACCAAAGCTTTGCAGCTCTTTTTGTCTGATACACACGGGACGTTTTTACAGCGGCTGTTTTTGGCTTTTGACATTTTTTTCTACAGCCAGTAAACCCCCCAGCATGTTATCCTATGTGTCCATACACACACAGACTGTCATCAGCGTTTTTTGGCTGGGATAAAAACTCAGAACTAGTGGGTTTCTAGAGGAGTTTTTTAGCTGTAAAAAACGCTCTAATGCTGTAAATCGCAGCAAACTGGCGTTTTTGGACTTTTTTGACCCAAAAAAACAGCTACAAAAAACGCAGCTAAACGCTAATGCAAAACCACTGAAAATCTCATGTTTTTAACGTGAGTGTACACAGCCAACGTTACCAGCGTTATTAAAACCCCGTGTGAATGGAGCCTTAAAGTCTAATTCTGAGCCATCAGATGAGGGAAGAATGGTGACTCATTGAGTTCTGTAAACAAGAGATTTGAGGCAAGATAGAAGACTGTATAATATTGATAGGCACTATGTCATGAGTAATAAAAAGAGAGAGAGAGAGAGATTTGTTTAAATTATTTTTAAGTCCTGACAGTATGTACAAAACCACTATAAACACAATCTGCATGCCCATTTAACAAACCGTGGACTGAATCCACACTGTCATCTGGGTGAACGTTTATTATAACCTTTGGAAAAAAAAAGAGGAGATTCATTTTTTTTTACTTTATTCAAGTACAATTCACTTCAAACAGTGAAAAAGAAATCGGTTTGTACTTTGACCCCAGCTCTACCTCAGCTCACCACAAAGTCAGAAGAGTCAAATCACTGTCAAAAATAAATATTTGTTTCAGTACGGAGATGTAAACGATGTATAAATCAGGAGGAGGCGAGCACTTTTCATTTTCAGCTGTACTTTCCTCTCTAGTAACATCAAAGGCATATTTATAAAGTAAGTGAATGTGACTTTCAGCAAACATTCACTTATGGTGAACCAATAATTGTCATTTAATACACGTGAAGATGTCTGGTGAATGTCAGATCAACTGCTGTATAAATATGACCCTTTAATGTGAAGTTACAGAATTATGAAAAAGAACCTGGTCTCTGCTTGGGGAATTTCCCTTCCATATTTTGACTGAAGACATAGTGACGTGCTTTAAAATAAAATCTAGCTTTCACATAGTTTAAATATGCCTTTATTTTTTTTTCCCTGCTGCACACATACCTGCTGCTTTTTTAAAAGGGACCTCCAGTCCAAATGTTTTTTTTTAAAAGTTAAGTGTGGCCAGAGCTTTTTTTGGCCATACTTCTCATATGGGTCACAGGAGTGCACTTAGTTCTTCATTCCTGTGACCCAGATTCGACTGACATCACAGAGCCAATCCAGGCTCTGCAGGGATCCCGACATCAATGTCAAGATATGCCCAAATGCCTGACCTGCACCTGGCTCAGACGCTCCCACCCCTTCCCCAGCCCAGCACTCTAGTGAGCGCTAGAGGAGCAGAGCAGAGAGCAGACCTGAGAACTGAATGATCACTGGTTTTGATTGTTCAGTTCTCTGTGTAGAGCAAGCAGGGGACAGCTGCAGCATCCGACTGATGCTGCAGCCATCTAGGTGAGTATGCAAGTTGAGTTTTTTTCATTCCTACATTTATCTTTCAAATAGAGAAGGAGAATGATGAAAACCTGTGTTGGGTTTCTATTTCCATTACCCCCATGGTCTATGACCACCTGTCACTAAAACAAATTGTGAGAATCAGTCTCCTTAGTAGGCACACATCAATAAAAAAC